AGTTAACAAAACAACTCCTCCCCACCCCCAAAGTCTATTGTAGCTCAGGCTGGCATCAAAGTTTATAATTCTCCTACCTCACCTTTCTAAGTGCTAAGGTTATAGATATAAACCACCAAGTCTAGCTTCTAACGTCTTTGTTTTTTATGCTATTGAAACAGTATTTTTTAAATAATTGAATTTTGTCCTACCTATACAGAAACAAGGTCAGCACCTCCTACCTGCTGCTCATGTGGGAAGGCCTCTGCATCACAGGTGACTATGGATTCTTCAGAGTAAACCAGAATGTTCTAGACTACAAAAACCTGAACTTCTGCTGGTCACCAAATCCGACTAGTATTTCTGGAGTCACCTCTATTAAACCAACTGTTTTGTAGCCTCCCTGAATCCTGGGCTGGCCCAGGGATAAGGAAACCAGAGAGAGATGGCTTGACCCTTCTTACTTCCCCTTAGTACTGTCTCACAGACACAGCACCCGAGAAGCCAGTGTCTCATGGCACTGGAGAGTTGTGACTTACTCACTGCTCACCAAGTGATCGTCACCAGATATCATCCTTAGATGATATGTCGGGGTCCTAGGCATGAGAACCAGAAACTTACAGTGAAGATGCTGAGGAAACCCTGGCATTCCTAGAAACAAGTCTCTCCTAAATCAACCAGTGGAAGTTTGTTTTAAAGAATACCATTCTAGCAGCTGTGGCACATGCTTTTAATCCCAGCACTCAGGAGGCAGAGGCAGGTGGATCTGTGAGTTTGAGGCCAGCCTGGTCTACAAAGTGAGTTCCAGGACAGCTAGGACTACACAGAAAAACCCTGTCTCAAAACAAAGAAAAAAACGAGAGAGAGAGAGAGAGAGAGAGAGAGAGAGAGAGAGAGAGAGAGAGAGAGAGAGGGAATATACAATACAATTTGCTCAATGGTTAAGAGCACTTGCTGCTCTTACAGAGGACCCAGGTTCTAGTCCCAGCAGTCACATGGAGATTCACAGACCTAACTCCATGGTAGGGGACCTGACATCTTCTGGCCCTCACGAACACACTACATACATGCAGACAAAACACTCAACATATAAAAAATGAATTAAAAAATATAATTCTGATCACATAAAAATATTTTCAGACTCCATCTTCCTCAGGAGCAGTCTCTGATTTGCATAACACAAATTCACTGCACACCAATATCCCAGATTCCATGTCACACCCTTACCAGAACCTTCTGGTGGCCAGTCACAGTCCATGGCATAGATCCCAGGCTCCCTGTCTTGACATTCACGGTCTTGAAACCTGAGGTCCCAAATGCCTATAGGCCTCTGCAAAGATGTTGAGTGACTGCTTCAAAGGACCAGGGACACTGAGACCAGGACTGGGGACTCTAAAGTCTTTCTTTTGTATTCAGCAGACAGCCCCTCAACATGGGGAAGCAGTCATGTTTGACTCCTCAAAACCCCTGCCCACTTCTCTAGCCCTTTGAGTACTAATTTTCCATCTTGGCATTTAACACTCCGCTTTGCTTCTTCTCCAAGGTGTATCTTATCTCTCCAGGCCATAAATCCCACCTCTTCATTGGACTTGCAGCCCAGGGAGGTGAAGCTCTGCACACAGGCAGCTTCATAAATACTTGAGGAATGTGAAAGTCTCCCGGTGCATTTCAAACTGTGAGTCTATTATGATCCACCAGAGAGTGGCTGGATCAACTTGGTGGGAAACAAGAGCATTTTTAGTGAAAAGTAACACAATAGACAATAAGAAGAAAAAAAGTCCAAGGTTGCACCAAGAAAAGCGGTTAAGACTTCACAAACTGAAATTTGATTTTGACATACATGATTAGGTACATAAAGTCATGATGTAAGGTTCTTCTCATTATTTTACACTGAGAGAGAGGGTATCAGTGCCTGCGCTTGCAGGAGTTGGCTCTCTCCTTCCACCATGTGAATTCTGGGAATCAAGTCAGGTTACCAGGCTTGATGGCAAGCACCCTTACCCACCGAGGCATCTCGTCAGCCCTCAACTCTCTTAACGTAGGTCATGGTCACAACTGTGTATAAACCCTGCCCTACGATAAACCAAAGAACGAAACCTCTGTCTGCTAGAGGATAATCACTATAAGAAAAAAAATATCTGTCACAGCTCAGGCCTGCCACAGCAGGACTGCAGTGAACTCAAGGCTCCTGAGTTACACAGAATAAGGGATTGGAGAGATGAATGGACAGAGAGAGGGAAGGAACAAAAAAAGGGGGGAGAATGAGAAAGGGGTAAGAAAAAGGAGAGATGAGAGACGGGGAGGGGAGGGACCAAAGGACAGAAGGAAATGAAGGTAAGAAAGAATGGGAGTGACCCTTACGACTCCATCCCTATCCCTCGAGGCCCTCTTCCCCTCAGTTCGCTGATCCTGAGTCTCAAGAGAAACAAGCAACCGAAATGACCATCCCAGCTCACTCCACAACCTTTTGCAATCACCCTTCAAATTCAGATGTTGCAAGTTGAAGCTTGGGGAATTTGTTCAGCAAATCACCCTAAGTTGCTCTTGCAAAAAGAAAGCCGAATTTAGAGCTCAGGAAAAAAAGAGAGCCAGTCTTGTCACTAGAATCCTGGGAAGGAGTAACTGGATGGGACTAGGATGAGCCAGGCCCTACAAGAGGCCCCACATTCCTCTGTCTCCCTTAGGTTGTCTTGCTGTTTGTCCCTCCCCCTGCACAAACAGCGCAGGAGACTTACCTTCATATCTCTGTAAAGAGTAAAGTTCAGCGAGCATCAAAGCCTAGTAACTTACTCCCTTAGCAAAGCCCACTGCACTTCCCTCCAACCTCTAGCCCCACCCTCAGGGTTGTAACAAATGACCCCATGCTCCTGGAAGCCCACTCCCCAGAGTTGCTCCTCCATGCTCGGGGCCAGATGCAGGTGATGTCAAGTGAGAGGAGGGCAAAACAGAAGTGCTGAGGGTCAGGCCCTCGGTCCCAAGTGAATTCTCTGCTGCCCCTATGACCAAGACAACTCCCTGAGTTTCCCCCTACACTACCCTCCAGGGTTCCCACCTATCAGAACCACGGTTGCTAGCACATACATCCCTACATCTGGACAACCTGGCGAACACAGAGACTTCTCTAGAGCCCAAGTGTCAATTACCTTCTCTACAAAATACACATTTCCGATTCCGATTACCAACTACGGCAACTCCAAGGCCCTGGTGTGTGATCAGCTTCCTCCAGGAATGAATTCCTATTCACATCTCTCCACCCTGCCCCTGTCAACAGAATATTTCAACAGTAAAGTCTTCCAATAAAACCAAGTCCAAACCCACAGCACTCCAAAAGTGCAACAGGCTACTCACTGGTCTGCCTCCTAACATCAAATTCAAAAATCTCTACAAATACCCTAGTTACATCACCCCCTGGCCTAATGTCTCCCCAGTACACCCAGGATAAAAGTCTAATGCCTTAGTCTGACTTTCTAGGACTTTCACAATCTCAGTCATTGTTCCTCTCTATCTTTATCTCTTACTGTTCAGGAAACATTCCAAGAGGGCCAAGGCCATCTCCTAGTCTCTAGAGAAACCCATATTCATTCCCCACATTTATTATGTCCCATCTCCAGAGTCTCATCATGCAAGGACATAACACAGGCTTAGCAATCCCTGTACATAGCACTGTCCCCTGACCTCCAACAGCACCCATTTCTGCACCTGGCATTTTGACAACTAACTGTGCCCCATCTGGAATCTTATTTCACATGCTCAAGTCTTTCTGTATCCTCCAAGAGATTATAAGCCCTGGAGAGAATTATTTGTGCATCTTCTGTTGCCTTACTCACGGGAACAACCAAGCCACTGGACATCCTTTATCAAGCTTGTCACCTGTGAATGCTTCCTTCTGACTTCTGAATCTTGCCAGGGAATTGTCTACAGGTGGAAATTATTTAAAATGTGTGCCGAGGGCCCTTCCCCACCTTTAACTGCCATGCTCCCTGTGCCCCAACGTTTATATTAACTTTGCCGCCATAGCATATTAATTTAAACTTGAGCTCTTAAATCATTTCTCTTGTAGCTTCCTGAGGCTTTCGACTTCTCACGTGCCTGTAAGCATCGCCCAGAAGTCTTGGCAGTAGAAAGAGAACAGAGTAGGTTCTCAGAAGTACCTGTGGGCTAACCAATGTCCTTCTGTTTCATTCTTCCAAAGCAAGAACCTCTATTTACACATCCCCTTAGGAGGGTGTCCCCAAGCTACAAGACCTGTTGATCGCCCACTTTGAAACCAACTGCCCCACTTTACACCCTTCTATTCAGGGAGAGTCAAAAAAGCAGTGAAGGGCTGGAGATAGTCCCTGTGCCATGGCCTGGCATCATGGGAACCCATGCCTGGTGGAAGTCCTCCAAAACCACAGGAAAGGGAGGGATGGAAAACAGGGCTCGCGCAGGATTGCTGGCAGGTAGACCTCCAAGTGGGCCCGAAAGTGAAGACGCGGAGCAGAGCCTTAACTCCCAGGCAGGAAGGGAACCCTGCCTCGGAATTGTCTGTCCATGACAAACTCCCTTTCTAGGCCCCCATCGGCCACTCCAGAGGCCCACAGTGCCACGGCCAAGAAGAGACCCGGGGTGAGCCCAGCAGGCTTAGAGCCAAGGGGGCGGCGAAGGGGGCCGCAAGCAGGGGGTTGAGAGAGGGTGTGTCGCGAGGCCATGTCCCGCAGCACGGCTCTCTGTGGATCTGGAGAGGGCAGGGGCGCGCGGAGCGCCGGGCTGACGGCCCAGTCGGAAAAGGGGCAGGTTAACAGGTCAGTGTGGGCCCGCGAGGCCACTCCCGGCCACTGCTCAAAGTTGGGAGGAAGATCCGGCCGGAGGACCCGCAACATAAACAAGGCGACGCGCGAGAAAGCGAGCGGCCACCCCCACCCGGCCACCGCCGCAGCAGCCCCGGTCCCGCCCGGGCCGCACGAGCCTCCTGGGCCCCCAGCCCGATGCCGTCCCCAATCCCGGGTTGCAGCCCCCGCGAGGTCCCGCGCGCAGCTCACCTCGGCCGGCCACTGGCCCGGACAGCTCGGCTCCCTGCAGCGGCCGCGGCCCTGCCCGCCACCGGCGCGGCCCCTGCACTGCGCCGCCTCCCGCCGCCGCCGCCTTCGCGCCCACCTGGCCGGCCTGCCCTCCCTCTCCGGGACACTGCGCTCACGTACGCGGCCGCGGCCACAACCCGGCCCGGATTCCCCCGCCCGGGAAGGGAGCGCACCGAGCCGCTCGCAGCCAGTCCGCCCGCGAGCCAGCCAGCTAGACGCGGGGACACACCCCCGGCCACGCGCGCGCACGACCCGCGCGCCCCCAACCCCGGCCGCGCGCGCGCGCTCCACAAACCCTGGCTGACTGTACACAGTGGGCGCTCAATAAATGCTGGAGCGACTCCTCTCACACATGCGCACTTGAACCTGACCGAGTTGTGACCCCCCCTCCCCCAGCCCCCACCCCTAAATCGGAACGTTCAGCTGGGTCCGGAACCGAACTAGAGTATCTGACACCCCCTTTTTTTTTTTTGCTTTTTCTCCCCCCCCCCCCCACTGAACTGCAAGCCCAGCCAAAGTTTCTGGCTGTTGTTTTTCCAGCGCGCCCAGGGCGGGAAAGGAAGCCAGAAGCTCTGGGCGCCAGGGACAGCAGTTTGGCGAGGGCGACAGGGACCCGAGGCCGGGTAACCGGGGGCGGCGCGCGAGGGCGGAAGAGCTTGAAAACCCAACCTTTCCATTTTGCTTTGGACCAAGAGTTTTCTTCCCCGGTTTTTATGACATTTATTCGTTTGGAGCTGTAATGCGAGGCGGTGTTTACTGTTTCTAGAATTAAATGGGAGAAAGTTAACTATTAGCCTTCAACCCTTGTGTAAACAATACCGGTTGCTTTTTGGCACCGTTAGGCTCTAGCTTTTGGATAATTTGTAACAGGGAGAATCGAAGCTGTTCCATTGTGTAGTTCTGTGTTTTTCCTAGATAAGACCAAGGACGGTGGAGAGGGGCGTGTGTGTGTGTGTGTGTGTGTGTGTGTGTGTGTGTGTGTGTGTGTGTGTGTGTGTGTGTGTGTGTTTACAGTCAAACAAATTTAATGAGTAAAAGAGTAATCCCCTCCCTTCTCAAAAAAAAAAAGGTTTTAAAACATTTTGAAATTGCGGCTCAGTGGAGTGTTGGTACAGTTTGGGGAGTCACGTGTGATCCTAGAACCAGCATCTTCATCTGGTTCAACTCTGATCTATTTGATAAAGCCGAGTAACTAGAGATAGTGCTCAGGTTTGGCCACACTGTTACCCACTGAGCCATCTCTCTCCAGTTCCCAAGATATGCAATTTTTATTTGCTATGACCTAGGCACTAACAGTGTGGCCAAACCTGAGCCCCAGCATGCTGCAAGGTGGCAGGAGAGGTGGAGTTGTCCAGCAAGTTATCCTTAGACCTGCGCACACCATAAATAAATAAATAAATAAATAAATAAATAAATAAATAAATAAAATTTAAAAACTAGCGTGTCCCTTCACCTGCCTCCAACTACTTGTTGAAATAAAATTATCCAACTGGAATCAAAATTCCTATAGGAGATGGTTCACAATTAGGGGTGATTTTTGTCCCCAGGGACACTTAATAATATCTGGAGTCATAACAGTCTGAGAGCTGTTTCCTACTGGTATCTAAGCTGCTGAAGGTCAAGGATGCTACCAGTGTACGGCTGTGTACAAGACCGCTTCCCATGGATGAATTAACTAGTCTGAAATGCTTGTAGTGCCTGCTCTAGGACAATCCTGCTAGGGTGTGATTCATCCAAAACTGCTTCTCCCTTTTAATTCTCAACCTCAGGAAAGACTTCGGTTTCGAATTAAAAAGAACAGAACATTGTAGGGACTCACATCAATGACTTTAATACACAAAGCCTTCCCTTAACATGAAAATGTAGATTGCAATTGTATATTAGTAAAGGAACCAACAATCCATGCATGGCTTTCCATTCTTGTTTCCAGTTGTCCTCAAATGCTTCCTGTATATTCACCCCTCTCATGCCTTTCTAGATCAACAGTCCCTGCCCCCAAGGAACACTCGGCCTCTTTGAGGGGCAGACTAGTACTGCTCACAAACAATTGAGGAGCAATACAAAAAAAAAAACCTATAATTAAGTGTTAAATGCAGTCCAGGGACTAAGGTGACTGAGAGGAAAGGGAAATGAGTCTTCACAGTAAAGCCTGGGCTCCAGAAATGCTTGTGGAGCTAAATGAAAGTTCTGTGCACAGAGTAGGTCCCCAGCCAGAATATGAACTCACCACAGGATTTAGACTGCTAGGCCTCATAAAAAAATGAGAGTATCTGGCGTTGGGTTTTGTTTTATTGTGGTGTTGTTTTGTTTCTGTTTTTGTTTTGTTTTTTGTTTTTGAGATAGGGTTGCGTAGCCCAGGCTTACCTTGAACTTGTTAGATAACTAAGAAGAAACTGCTAATTCTCTTTCTTCATCTTCTCAAAGGCTGATGTTACAGGCATGTGCCAACACACCCAGTTTATGTGGCACTGGGGACCAACCTGGGCTTCATGTATACCAGGCAATCACTTTCCCAACTGAACTACATCTCCTGCCCTTTTTTCTTTTTTATAATTTTTATTTATTTACTAAAAAAAAAAAGCAGGGTCTCTCTATAGCCCTGTCTGGCCTTGAACTCATAGAAATCCACCTGCCTCTGCATCCTCAGTACTGGGATTACAAGGTATGTACCACCGTTACTGGCTATTTGTTTGCTTACTAATTTATTTTTGCAATACTAGAGATTGACCCCATGGCTTTCTGCCTATTGGCAAGCATTCTACCACTGCTCTAAATTCCCAGCTTGAATTTATTTTTCTTAAACTATCTCATTTAAACTTTTAACCAAACATATGCTTCCTAAAATGACTGAGTTTCAATAAAGCTGAAATGCTAATTCAGTTGACAAAACATATGCCCCCACTGTGTGCAAAGCGAACCCATACTCCCTGAATATGAACAGAGCCCATAACTTGTTCTGGTTTGAAATCTCTTCTTGGAATCACAGGCTGTTTGGGGACATATGTCCTCTCCCAGCATATGTTAGACACAAATCCCTCTTTACCACAGGCAGTACACATGGTGTACATTCCAGAGTTCTGCAAATTAGCCCCAACTCAGAACATCCCTTCTCAAACAGCTGGTCCAAACACACAGACACCTAGCATGAAGCACGTTCCCGAATACACACAACATGCAACATGCCAAGCAGAGTGTGCTTGGAAAGACTGTCATCTTGGGTTTGTAGTCCTGTTCTCCTACCTACTTCCTCCATGTTAAAGGACTTGCCCTTCCTGGAGGGCTGTCTCATCTTTGGCCTGTCAAGCTTCCTTTCTTCCAGTCTCTGGCTCCCTACTAAAATGCTGGCACCTCAGACCTCCTTTCCATTAAAGTATCCCTCATCAGCTGAGATTAAGTAAAGCACCTCAGCCTTGTTCTTCCCCTCCCCTCACTAACTTTGTATGGACACACTTATAGGTCATACACTAGAAGTCTTAAATGTCCACCTTCCTCAGACTCTTTATGCTACCGCTTATAGGTGTAGCTTCTCCAAACCACCCTTCCCTTGGCCCTTTCCTCTACCTGAAGCTCCCCAGAGGCTGCCTGTAGCTTTTCTAATACAGTCCCAGCACTACTCATAGAACCAGCCCCTCCTGGGGAGCCTCCAGCTTCACCTGCCTCTCTCTGTGTGTCTGTGCACCCCTCTCATATTGCACCCCGGACACCCTCAGCCGCTCACCAGAGTACACGTCTTCCTTTGTCCTCTGCCGTATCCTCTGCTTGAAATACTGTTCTCACTCATTGCTCTACATGGCTCTCCCTCCCCATCCCCAAGCTGGGAAGTTGGAGGAACATATTCTCTGAGATGCTTGCTCTGGCCTCTGAGGCAAGATGAGGTGTCTCTCCCATGGTTCCGGCATCCTCAACTTACTCCCTCCTCACTGTGCTGAAATCTCCACTCTTTGACCTTTACCTCCTACAAGACTACAAATGTATGGGACAGTCTCGTTGTCCTTGACACAGCCAATGCCTTATACCCAGTACAGTACAGTGCTGTAAGTATTTGTTGCTGAATGAACTGCAGGCTGGATCTGGGGAAAGAGTAGCAGTGTTCTATGGTCCAGCTGATCCTCAGTTCAAAGCACACTTTAAATATTGTATGGGCTCCCGGGTTCTTGAGGAGTCATTTATTTAAAGCTGGGTGCAACTCCCAGTGTGAGGTTTCTCTACGGCTTCATTTCCTGGACTCCAAAGTCTTTGTTGTTGTTGTTTGTTTGTTGTTCTTTGTTCTTTCAAGGCAGGGTTTCTCTTTGTAGTCCTGGCTGACCTGGAACTTACTCTGTAGATCAGACTGACCTTGAATTCATAGATCTGCCTGCCTCTGCTTCCCAAGTGCCGGGATCAAAGACGTGTGCACCACCGCCCAGCTATGAGCACTAAACACTTATCACCAATTCTCTGCTTGGCATCCCAGCATTAAACCTCTGGGGTTCCAAATGCAAAAACAGACTTCTGATGGCCGTTGACAAATCTGCTTCCTCCCACCTCAGTAAATGACAACATTCTTCAAGTTCTTTGGGAACAAGCACACATCCTTGGAAATATCCTTAACTCATTTTCTTCCTTTCTTCCTCCCTTCCTTCCTCCCCCCCTCTCTCTTTCCTTTCCTTCCCTTCCCTTCCTTCCTTCCTTCCGATCTCAAACTCTGTAAAACATTTTTTAAAAAATCTATTGGCACTATCTGCCTAATGTCCTATTTCCAGTACAGCTTCCCCGAACCAGCCACCACCTCTCCTACCTGAACATCTGTAATCAGATCCTGCCTCCTCCTGTCTCTGTTGCCTCTCTGTAGTCTATGTGACACCTCAGAAAATATAAAGATCCTTCTGCTCAAAACCTCCAAGGGCTCCTCCATCCACTCACTACAAGGCCATGTGATCTTGGCCCCAAGCAGTTCTGGCCTACCCAAGGACACCATTGCTGTTTCTTAAACCAGCCCCCTCGGCCTATCTGAGACTCCTTGTTTAGGGCTGGAATGATCTTCCTGTATACATCTAGCATTTAACTACATCTCTGTTCAAACGCACTAGACATTTTCCTTCCAACATATCTGAAAATGCACCTACCACCACTCCATTGGTAGTCTCTGGGCTTTGCACTCATTACCTCCTGACAATCTGTCTCCATCTGTTTGGCTACAACTTCAATGAGCACAAGGATTTTATTTGTCTTGTGTCCTCAGCTTCTAGGACAGTGTTTAGCA